TGAGACGCTATTGATGACAAACCAAGATCAGGTTCTGTAGTTTTTGCGAACAAAAGTGTCCCATATGTATGCCGTATCCTTACGGATTGGTGTTTTGTTCCAAAACTGGCTACAAAGGCCTCGGACAATGTCTTGGATTATACGATGAATGCCCGCGACGATCGTACTAATTATATATCTTATGTATGCTAGAAACTTTTGATATTTATGAGCCAATACTAATTAAATATTTATAGATATATCCCCATTCTCCCCCACAATATGATTTTAGTTGGCTATTTTTAAAACATATTGATTACAATATGTTTTAAAAGTATTCATAATAACATAAAATAGATGACAATCTAAATATGAACATAGTTTGAGCTTTGTTTCTTTGTAGGTGCTCTGACGACGGAAAAAAAAAATTTAGATCAAATTAAAAAAAGAAAATGTAGATCAATTAATATAAAACTATTTAAAAAGAGATTGGTACTGAAGCTTAAAAAATGTTGTAATATTTGTAAATTTCATTAACATTAGATATGCTTTTATTTTTTTTTTTTTTTGTAATCCTTTGAATTAATATATAAATTTTGTAAAATAGAGAAACTAAATTCTTTGTATCAAACGTGAAAACTAGGGTGGTAGACGAAAGGGAAATAGTTATGATACTACTAACGCAAAATCAGACAGATGATCATTGATAAGTCTAATAAGATCAATGATCAACATTTATAGTCAGCCTAAAAGTTTTTATGCAGCATTAAAGTTTTTAATATCTATTAAAGGGTCAAAAGTATGGAATAAATTTCATTCAAATAAACTTAAAACTCATGAAACTCTTACAGGGTTATACATTCTTATATGCGCGTCTATTCATTTTTACATGTGCCTTTATTCATTCTTATATGCGCGTTTATATATGCGTCAACCACTCATAAAATCTCTAATATAATTTAATATAAACAATAAATACGCTTTTAAATTTTTATAGAGATATATTTAAAATATAAATTAGGTTGTTTTCATTGTTATTTATTTAAGAAATGGTTGCCGAGCCAGCGTTGGATTTATGTAACTACGCATATGGTTGTAAAATAAAACCATATTAAATTCTGTAGTATCCATAATATTTTGAAGATTCCTGATTACCTCATCCGTATTTCGAGGCCTTTCTCCCTGTTTGTAAGTATGTTTTAAAGAAGAAGAAAAATTCTTTTATTGGTTTAAGCTGTAGCGTTTATGCTGGCAGATACTTAATAGCTATACCATGAGAAGCTAGTGTTTGCCTAACAGAAAGACTCCAGTGGAATTTACAATTGTCCATAACAAGCACCGGCGCTTTCACATTTGCATTCCTAATCGCTGGTGCCATCATTGTAGTTATGAAAGTACAAAATGAATCTGCATCCCAGCCTCCAGTTTTTGTTTCATTAGCAAGCACTCCAATTGTTGAAACAGCACAAATTAAACTAAGATTATTGCCACGATTTGCAGATGACTGTAAAATTGCTGGCGTACCTCTTAGCGAATAACCATAAGTGCTGTTAGTGTGCACATTAAATTCAGTTTCATCCAAATAAATATGTTTTTCATTTGAAATTCCATTAATTTGTTTTTTTACAATTGCTTTTGTAAAACGCATTTAAAATTAATAAATACGCATATAATAATGAATAAATGCGCATATAAAAATGAATAAATGCGCATATAAGAATGAATAAAGGCGCATATAAAAATGAATAAATGCGCATATAAGAATAGATAAGGGCGCATATAAAAATGAATAAATGTGCATATAAGAATGAATAAATGCGCATATAAGAATGAATAACCCTGCAACAAATTCAAAGCAAAATTGGAGCAAATGTTTCCGGTTAGTGACGGAGTGCATGACTTCTTCTAAAGTTATCTGGTTAGTACAAATAAGCTTTTTGAATTTATTTTAAAGTTAATCTTTTCAACCTATATATATTAATCTTTCCAACCTATTGTCATTTTGGGAAAATCAAAACTTTTATATTTAAATAAATATTTTTTTATATGAAGAGATTCAGGTAATTATCGATTTTACTTTTGATTAATAATATTAATTAGTATTTAATGTTAATTAAATAACATCTTGTTATTCTTATATTAAAAGAGTTAAACCAACATTTTATTTTTTTTAATTTGTAACTTTTTTTTTGATTTTTCAAAAGAATATAAGTTAATTCACAAGTTATATGTTGCAAAGTTTTTTTTTTTTTTTTTTGTATTTGTTACTCTTTTTATATATTTATATATTTTATATATTTATTACCAGGAAGTCTTATTTTTTCATATAAACTAGTTACAATTATATGCTGTACGTAATAATTTTTATTTTACGGAGTCAATTCTCGAGGCTTGGCGATAAGACAAATTGTGTCTTCTTCTTGCCCCAGCCATTTGTATTTATACTAAAGTATTGATTGTATACATATATTTTTATTCCAAAACAATAGTGTTAAAAAAAAAAGTTTTTTTTTTTGTTTATTGCAACTCATTATAAAATGTATAAAAAAGTAAATAGGAAATAATGGGTAAAAACATTTGGACGAAAAAAGCTTCTAATACAAACGTCTAAAAAACGGTTTATTAAAACCGTCCCTCACCATTTCCTTTATGCAGAAAAATCACTAAAAATAAACGTTTCCAATACACGTCCACAAAGCGTTTTATGAAAACTTTTTCTAAACACCGTCCACCACCATTTTCTTTATATGGAAAAAGCACCAAAGTTAGATGTTTCAAACGTTATTTTGATAAAAACATGTTTAACATATTTTATGTAGGCCAAAAATATGTCTGGACTTATGTCAACATATCTGCCAGACATATTAGGGGCCATTCAAAAAGGACGTCACCTTTTTTCAAGCAATTTTCAAACCCCTTTCCCTATCCCCCTCCCCCACACATTCTTTATCAAATTAATGATAAAGATTATCTTCATAAAAAACACATGTTCACATAGTTTTCTATGTTAATAAAACTTAAATAAAAAAATTATAGGTGACGTCATTTTCTGACAACTTCTTACTTCCCCTCGTCTCTTTTTTACTTGACCCCTTTCTCCCTGACTAAATGACGTCCTTTATGCATAGCCTCTTATGCCGTAATAACACTGGTAGGTGGCATGTTGTCTTATTATACTAAGTTATAACCTTACAAAGTTATTACTTCTTAAAAAAGCCATGCAAAAGATTATAAAAACTTTCGGGGTTAAACCAATTTGTTTTGGGTCCCACAAAAGTATTGGGCCCCACAAAAGTATTGGCCTCAGGCCTCTTATGTACTTACATGACACTTACTTAATGTTTTGACACTCACAATAGTCACGATAAGGAAAACTTTGGGTTCTATACTGGCCACTTGGGACACTTTTAGACTGGGATCTTTTTATTTTAGATCCTAAGATACTTAAAACGCAAGTTGGTAAATTTAGAAATTTTATAATAAAGAATAAGTTAATTGATGGTGATAACGAAAGTAATATATTTCATGTCACAGACGTCGGTTTACAGGCTTTTATATTACAAAATTTATAGGTATTATAAAAGAATTTGTTTAATCTATATATTTGATCGAAATACGTGGACATTACAAGTTAAATTTTATGAACAACATTAAAAATTGAGTTTTAATTTTGAATTTGTGTTACAAACATCATTTTAAAGTAAAAGAAGAAATTTAAATGTTTAACAAAAATTAAAATTTCTGTTAGGTTTTTAAATTGACATGAACCACGGCTAGAGGTGGGGGGGCGGGCGCATGTCCATGAACCCCCTCCCCCTCTCCTACAGATTTTGTATATATATATATATATATATATATATATATATATATATATATATATATATATATATATATATATATATACACATATATATATATATATATATATATATATATATATATATATATATATATATATATATATATATATATATATATATATATATATACAAAATCTGTAGGAGAGGGGCGGGGGCTCATTGACATGCGCCCGCCCCCCACCTCTAGCCGTGGTTCATATATATATATATGTATATATATATATATATATATATATATATATATATATATATATATATATATATATATATATATATATATATATATATATATATATATATATATATATATATATAATAAAATAATGAAGTTAAGTTAAGTTTAAGTTTTGTCAAATACAAAGTCTTGCTTTTGTTTTATATTTTCATGTTTTGGTGAATTTTTCTTAATAATATAAGTAAGATATTTTAAGTTATTTTTAAAAGTGGTTATTGACATTAAATCTGAAAATTTAGTTATATTTTCAAGCATATAGCCTAATTTAGAAATAGACTTTTCTAATAAAGCAAAATCTATTTTTTTTAAACATTGGTATTGCTTAATTATTTCCAAAGATAAATATTTGTTAAAAAACACAGTTTTGTGGGTTAAATTTTTATAATTATTAAAATCTCTTACGATTTCATTTATATTTTGCTTTTCATCTAGAATCTGAGTTATTTCATAAATATAATTTAAAAATGTACTAATTTTGTTTGAAGTTGGTCTGATTTCATAAAAACATAAATTTTTAGAAACATCATCTCGCAATTGGTTATTAAACAACTGATAAACTTCTGGAGTAAGAAGAGACTTCAAACTTTGTTCAAAATAAATATTGTGCGCTCCTGTAAATGTGTGTTTTTGAAAACTTAGAAATTTCCTGCATAAAAAGCAACACAACTTTGAAACACCTATACCTTCTGAAATAATTTTATACTTCCACTTAAATGTCGATGCCAAAATTTCGGCATGGATAATAAAAGTTCTTTTTATGTTATTTTCGTCTTCTAAATATATTTCTTTGTTTAAAAATGATGATAAAAATAATTTTAATTTGTCTTTGTCGAAAACATAAACATTTCTGATAACAGTGTCACGTTTTATTAATGAAAATAATAATTGAAACTTTTTTAATAAAGGAGGAATAAAGACTAAATTACCAGAAATTTCTTTCTTTTTACATTTCTTTAACAATTTTTTTCCTAATCGGGCATTTGATAGTACGTCTTCATGAGTTGAAACCTTGTCAACTATTAATGGATTGCAATCTTCTAAAAGCTCTTGAAAAGCAGGATATATTTTTTTTAATTTTAAATGCCGTTGAAGTTCTATGGAAAGATTCAAAAAAAATTCCAAATTTTTTAACGTAGAAATGTTCTTGGTAGTTAACATACGAGATATTTCTTCAAGGTATAATTCATTTGCATTTATTTCATTGCCGTTTTTTTTATTCTTATTAGAAAAAATATCTGTATTGTAAAAAACGTATAATTCATTTTCTTTTGATCTAAACGCAGCAGCACAACTTTTATGTACCCAACTAAAAATCATCGCTAATGCATCGTTTCTTTGAATTTTTTCCTGCAAGCTATTGCCAAGAACTACATCCAAATCCTGAGACTCCGCAATGTTTCTTAAAATATTAAGTAGGTGTATAAAATCATGATCAACTGCCATTTTGATATCAAGTTTATTGCAAGATTTCGCATTGTATGAAACTGTAAATTTATGCATAAACTACTGTCAATATGCAAGATGGAGTTTTTCAAACGCTTTGAAATGCTATAGGATTATGCTTTTTACCTATTGTTTTCCAAATAAACAAAAAACTACATTAAGACTTTCTCAATGCAACTAAATCATAGAACAAACAAACTCGTAAAAAAAAAAAAAAGCCGATAATTTAAAACAAATCCAATTGGTTGTTAGTGGGAAAAACTTTTTATTTAATGGTATTTAATTTATGCAAACAAAGAATTCGAATTGAAAGTAATTTATTTATAAACTTTACCGCCTCTGTTTTTTAATTGTTTACTCAATAATTTATTTATTTGTTTTTTTTTTTTTTTAGTTTACATTATTTACATGTCGTGATTTCCATGTAATATAAACATATAAACTTGGAATCTGGAAGAAGATCATATTGATCTTGTCGCCAGAACCATATAAAAATTACAATATAAATATAATATAGTATAATACAGGTAGTTTATAACAAAATAAGAATCCAAAACATTTGAAATAAGAAATGGTTAAAATAATATCTCAAAAATATTTCAATATATTATCCGTAGAAAAAATAATATTCTTTAACTTGTTTTTAAAAACAGAAAAAGAGATAGATGAATCTAAATTAGTCTGTACATTTTTATTCCAGATATAAGGTGCTCGATAATCTATACAAAATTGATTAAACTTTGATTGACAAAAGGGTTCTTTTAAATAGTTATTATTTCGCAAACAATATTTATTCTTTACTTTAAAGGTAAATAGATCTTTAAAAACATGAAATAAGGGGTTATTCATACAACAAAACGTAAAACATAAAATATTGAACAAGTTAAGTTTATAAACATTTAATACATTCATATCTTTAAATAGAGGTTTTGTATTTAAAAAACGATTTAGAAAATATATTATTCGCATTGCATGTTTCTGATGGCGGTAAAGACGTTGTAACTTACTTTTACCTGTACTTCCCCAGGCAATATTTGCATAGTTTATATAGCTATGAATAAATGAGTAGTATAGTTGTTTTAAATTATTTTTATTTAGATAATTTTTGGCCTTATAGAGGATACCAATACTTTTCGCAACTTTTGTTGATATATAATCAATATGAGCTTTCCATGTCATATTTTCGTCAAGATAAATACCTAGAAATTTTAAAACGGAATCTTTTTTTATTTCTACTTTGTCAATATAAAGTTTAGGTAAATCATAAGGCAAAAAGCGTTTTTTTGTTGAGGAGTGGAAAAGGATCCACTTTGTTTTCTCAATATTTAAGGTTAATTTATTGCATTTTAACTAGTTAGAAACTTGATTAAGTTCTTTATCCATATCTAAAAAAAGTTTGTTAATGTCTTTGTTTGACAAAAATAAATTGGTATCGTCGGAAAATATGTTGCTTATAAGATTCGAGGCCTTATTTAGATCGTTGACGTATACTAAAAAGAGAAGTAGGCCAAGGATAGAACCCTGTGGAACACCAAATTTTATTTCAATTAATGTTTTGTTTTGAAGATTAATAGGAAGCAATTCTTCTCCGTGGTAGACGAATTGCTTTCTATTTGACAAGTAGCTTTTATACCATTTGATCATTTTACCAGTTATTCCGTAGAACTCAAGTTTTTTAAGTAAGATATCATGATTGACTGTATCAAAAGCTTTGGATAAATCGACAAAAACACCAAGTGTATATTGTGATTTAGCAAAAGAATTTGAGACTTCACGTGTAAATTGAATAATGGCTTGTTCAGTTGAACTATTTTTTTTTAAAGCCAAACTGATTTTTATATAGTAAATTATTTGAAACTAGGTAGTTGTATGTTTTATGTTGTATAGATGTTTGGAAAACTTTAAATAAAATATTTTTCAAACTTTCATAGCAATCTATAATAATGTTCCCGTTTATTCCATCCGCACCGGTTGCTTTGTTTTTTTTTAAAGATTTGAAGGCTCTTTCAAACTCTTCAATCAATAAGTCTAGGAATAAGTCATGGGAAGAAAGTAAATTATTTGAAGTTGTCAAAAAATCATTAAAGGAAATATTTGTAGATGGAATCCTATCAGCCAACCTACTTCCGATATCAGTAAAATATTTATTAAACTCTTTTGCTATTTCATTTGGTTCATAAACACAAACATTGTTTATCTTAATCATTTTCGGATAGAAATTTGAAGAGGTTTTCTGTTTTCCCGTTATTTCTTTTAATATTTTCCATATTTGTTTTGAGTCATTTTTATATTTAGTGATTAAATTAGAGTAATAATTTTTTTTTAGGTTTTTGCGAATTTTTTCAAATAGAGTTTTGTAATTTTTATATATGCGTAAATTAGCATGAGATTTTGTTTTTAAATATTTTATATAAAAACTTTTGTTTAATTTGTTTAATTTTTGAAATATTTTATATACAATTTTTGTTTAATTTGCTTAATTTTTGAAGATTTTTTGAGACCCTTGGTAATCCAAGGACTACTTAAGGTTTTTCGTTTTAAGGTTATTTCGGAAACGGGAAAATTCGCATCGTACACCGAGAAGAATGTATTAAAGAACTTATTATAGATTGCATTTATGTCTTCATTAAAATTTACATGCTTCCAGTTTAACAGTTTATGCTTCCAGTTTAACAGTTTATTAAACTACAAATATTTAAATGTGTTATTGGTTGGTATTTTTATATTGTTATTGGTTGGTATTTGTATATTGTTATTGGTTGGTATTTGTATATTGTTATTGGTTGGTATTTGTATATTGTTATTGGTTGGTATTTGTATATTGTTATTGGTTGGTATTTGTATATTGTTATTGGTTGGTATTTGTATACTGTTATTGGTTGGTATTTGTCCTAATTGCACCTCAAAAATTAATTTAAAACTTATTAATGAAAAACATCAAGGATTTGCAAACAATATGTGTTTACAATGCTATAAATGTGATGGACACATGAGTTTTACTCTTTATCGTTTATTTATTTATTATTTTTTTAAATTTTACTTTATTTTGCTGTTTATATAAACTACAATTTCCTTTTACCAAAAATAAAATATAATTACAAATGTACAAGTAATAAACAGTCAGGGGCTCAAAGAAGATATGGATGGCAAAATACCAACCTAATCTTTTCATAGAGCCCCTACAGATCTTAACAATAATATATGGTAATATATGATTAATAAATCAAGTAGAAAATTTAGGAAAAAAAAAAAAGTAGTAAAAAAGAAGATATAATATTTAAGAATAAAAATAGAGAAAAAAGAAGATGTTTCAGCTAAATGTAAAAACACCCTCAATTAGTCAAAAAAGAAGATATAATATTTAAAAATACATATAGTGAATAATATATATATATATATATATATATATATATATATATATATATATATATATATATATATATATATATATATATATATATATATACACACACATAAACAAACACACACATAATATATATATATATATATATATATATATATATATATATATATATATATATATATATGTATATATATATATATATATATATATATATATATATATATATATATATATATATATATATATATATATATATATATATATATATATATATATAATATATATATAGAATAGAATAGAATAGAATAGAATAGAAAAGGTGCTGTACACACTTGAGGTGTGTAGAGTCTTAATTACGTAGAATTAAGACTATGACAGCCGATTACAAAAATTAGTGTTCAGAAACCGAAATAATTATCGATACTGTTTTTAAAAATGTTCAAATTATCTTTATCTAATATCCATTGTGGAAGAGAATTCCAATCATTTATAACTCTGTTTGTAAAGAAATGGTGACGAATTCTTGATTTTGTAAATTGTCTGCGTATTCTACAATTGTTACTTCTACTAGATCGCTCCAGCTCAAAATTTAAAGGAGGATGGTGAAAATTAACAATATCTTTTCCTTTTGAGATCTTATACATTTGAATCAGATCACTTCTTCTTCTTCTATCAAACAAAGTTGGCAAATTAAGTATCTTTATTCGTTCTTCACACAACTTCCCCCTTAAAGATTCAATTCTCGTAGCCCTGTGTTGCACGATTTCAAGATTGTCAATGTCCTTTTTCCAAAATGGACTCCAAACTGTTGCTCCATATTCCAAATGGGGATGTACTAACGATTTGTATAGTAACTTTAATGAAAGTTCATCCAAATACTCAAAAGAGTTTTTGATCATGCCTAATTTTCTGTTTGCTTTACCTATAGCTGAATTAACATGATATTTCCACTCTAGATTATTTGAAATGAAAATCCCAAGATCATTTTCTATCATTGTTTCTGTTAAAACAGAGTTGTTCAATTTATATTCATATCTTAGATTCTTTTTGCCAATATACATGACTTTACATTTTGATTCATTAAATATAATTAACCAATCTTCAGACCATTTAACTAACCTGTTAATATCCTCTTGTAATATTTTATTATCATCATAACAACGATTGATTGAAATAACTTTGGTATCGTCTGCATATAATTTAGTGTCTTTAATAATCCCTCTACATAAGTCATTAATGAAGATTACAAACAAAAGAGGTCCGAGTACTGAACCTTGTGGTACTCCACTAGTAACCATCTTCCAACTTGAAATATATTCCCCTATTACAACCCTCTGTGTTCGGCCTGACAAAAATGATTTACACCAATTTAACAAAGATGATACAAATCCTAGTCTGAATAATTTTTTCAGTAATTTCGTGTGAGAGACTGAATCAAATGCTTTTTTAAAATCCAAAAATAAAACATCAACAGAAATATCCTCTTCATACGCTTAGGTGATTAAATCTAATGTTTCTAACAGGTTTGTTATACAACTTTTGTTATTAGCAAAACCATGTTGCTCTTTAGAAATTAAATTGTTTTCAATGAGGAACACCATCATATGATCTTTAATAATTCTCTCCATAACTTTACCAACAATTGATGTTAATGAAACTGGTCTATAATTTGTTGGATCTAGTTTATTTCCTTTTTTAAATAACGGAACAACGTTTGCACATGACCATAACTTTGGAATAGATCCTGTAATAAACGATTTAACAAATATTATTGCTAAAGAACTTGACAAAGATTCTGAACATTCCTTTAAAAATTTTGGGTGAACATTATCTGGACCTACCGATTTGTACATGTTTAAATTACTCAAATGTTTCTGAATAAGAGAAATACTAAAATCTGGATCAGAACATTTTGTTAAAAGATTTTCATCTAAAACTTCTTCTGGTGAGTCATCTTGTATAAACACAGAAGCAAAGAATTTATTAAGAGTGTTTACTATCTCTTGATTATCATTAGTTATAATACCATTATGTAGCTTTATGGCTTTGATCGAGTCTTTAACTCTTGTTTTGTTGTTTATATAAGCATAGACACTTTTAGGATTGCTTTTTGAATTAAGTGCCAAGTTTTTTTCAAAATTGCGAATACTTTTCTTGACAAGTTTTTTTATATCTTTATTTAATTTTTTATACTTATTGACTTCTAAAAGACTTTTAAAACCTGAATTTCTGTTTCTAAACTAGGGTTGTTCGCCGAAAAACAAAACTTGCGAAAATTTCGCATCTTTATCGACCGTAATAGAATTGTTATTGTGGAAGTTGCACATGCGAAAATGCAAATTCCGTAACGCACTATACGAAAATATAAATAAATATAATTCCGTAATAAAGCATTGCGAAAGAAAACTTGCGAAACAAATCATTTCGTAAGAATACTTACGAAATAGTTCCTTACGGAAGGAGCATTCCGGAATGTGCAGTTACGAAAAAGACGCAAAGGATTTTATGTTACGATATATTTAAGATATTAAGTGTTAACAGTTTAAATAATAAATAATAAAATTATAAAAAAATGTTCAATTCAAATGATTCTTTAAATGTTTATACAAATATACCTTTGAAGAATCATATAACAATATATATATATATATATATATATATATATATATATATATATATATATATATATATATATATATATATATATATATACATATATATACCGTTAAGTTGGACTCTCAATAAATAGTATGCCTTTCTTTTTAAAAAGTATAAAGAGGATGTGTGATAAACAATTAAATACTTTATTATAAAGAACGAGAGATCTCTCTAAAGGTAAATGATATCAAGAAAGAGTAAAAAGAGAAGAAATATATGTGATACAGCGGGATATGAACCTCGGTCTCCGCGGCTAAATTTTATTCTTAACTGAATAAACTATACGTTTATTCAACTAAGTGAATAGTAATATTTATTTATTATATAGTTAAGAAACTATATAAAACAGAATTTACAGAAAGAGATACGTATGCAAATAGGATTCTATAAATCAGGAAAATGAATAGTAATGTGAACCTTTAGTTGCTTATAAATCATAACTGGACTTGAAAACTAGTTACTTTTAATGGAACACAATAGGCTGTTAAAAATTATTACAAAGTGTTTAGGACAGATGTCTAGTACAAAAAGCACAAGATTTAAAGCAAAATGATTTATATTATTTGAAAAAGTTGTTTTACGTACATTTCATCATAATTTATTTCATTCTTGTTTTAACTACACGTAATGAGTTCAAAAAACATCGTTATATATATTTATTATGGCACGTTTCGTAAGTTTATTTCCGTTAAGAACTCTTTCGTATGTTGTGATGCAAAATACTTTCGTTTCGAAAGAAATTTTGTTTTTTATCAATATTTCTAAAAATAAAACCATAAAAATTTAATATGTTTTTATACTGAAAATAAAAATTCATTATAAACATTTTGGGATTTAAAGATGTTAATTTTTACAATTAAAATCAGTCTGGCAAACAAATTTTCTTTATAGACTTCAAAACGTCGTTTGGCGAAAATGTTTGTTTCGCAAGTGCGACTTCCGAAACCGCTACTTTCGTATGTTGCAAAATAGTTTTGTTGCGTATGTCAACTTGCGAAATGCTAAATTTCGGAAGTAGTTTTTGCGAAATGAACATCGGCGATTTTAAATGTTTTGTAACATTCGGTACGAAAAAATGTAATTTCTCGTTCTCAATCTCCTTACGAAAGAATGTTGTTTTTCCGGAATTGCACAAAATCCTCCGGTTAACAACCCTATTCTAAACCAACATTTTTTCTTTTCTTTACACATGCTTTTAAGTTCAGTTGTCATCCATAGTGAGTTATTTTTTAGTTGAAAAGAGTTTTTATCTAAATTTAGCGTTGGGATATATTTTTCACATCCTATTTCATATTTTCTTAGCCATTTTTTGTAACATTCATTAACACTTAGTCCTTCAAATTCATTTATCCAGTTTATGTTATTAAAACACAAATCTAACGCTTTATAGTTTCCATTTTTCCACAAAAATTTTTTCTTCCTCGTTTGTAGTGATATAAATAAATTAGGTTTATTTTCATAACCAAATCGAAATTTCAAAATATGATGACCATGATCGATACCACCTAACGGTGGAAAATGTTCAAGAAAATAAACTCTGTTGCTATTGTCAGTCAAAATGAGGTCTAAAATGTTAGTATCAATACCAAACTTTACTTGAAAACTAGGACTGATAACATTTTGGTGCAGGTAACAGTCATGTAACAACTCAATAAACATACTTGCTGTTGTGTCACTGTCATTTATAACTTCACTAAAACTTTCATCGTTCCACTTGATGTTTGCATAGTTAAAGTCACCACATATTAAAATACCAGAGCATTTGTTATTTTTTTTGAGTACAAATGCTTGTTTTAATGGTTTTATAATGTCAATACACTTTTCACTATTACTAAGGCCTGTCCGGTACATACAAAAACATAAGATTTGCTCTTTGCCAATTTCAATCAAACACCATACTTGCTCAATATTTTCATTTATTAGATATTTTTCATTTATTTCATAAGATTTAATATTCTCTTGTATATAAATACATACACCACCACCACGACTAAATTGACAATCTTTTCTAATCAGATTATAACCAGGAATATTAGTAGTAGACATTGCTGACCACCAAGTCTCACAAGCAAATATAACTTGAGCCTTAGATCTGGATATATCATCAATGAATTCGTCAAATTTATTATTTAAAGAGGTCGCATTTGTATACCAACATGTTAAATAATCGATATTTTCTGTTTTTAAACCTTTTTGAAGGTCTTGATTCATTTTCTTTACCAGCAGTGTATTAGCACTTGAGTTCAAATGATTACTTCCTCCAGTGTCTGCATCAGGGTTATTTAATTGGTTATATATATATTGACAAGGTGTATGTAAAGAATGTTTAAAATTATGTGTGTTATACTGTGATGACTTGAACTACAATTGCTATTTGTTTATCAACACTACTTGTTTATTTCTAATTACGTGATAGCTTTTAACTTGGTCCCAATCGACTTTTAGGTTGAGTGGTTTATTTAATTCTCTACATTTATCCCTGAAGTGTTTATCCAAGTTTCTCTGAGCATCAGTTAAATCAGGATTTACATAAATACCATTAAACTTACGGTATGATTTTTTTATAAAGTCATTTTTTTTTTATAAGACTCATGTCCTTATTTCTTAACTCGACAATTACTGGTGCAATACCATTTTTAGATTTTAATCTAAAAATATGAACCATATGAAGTTTATCTATTGATACTTGATCCAATAAATCTAATACTTTGTTTTCGTCATCTTTCTTTATATCTGCGCCATCAGTTTTATTGGATTCTTTTAAACCAAAAATAATTACGTTCTTCTCTCTTCGTTCGATTTCTTTATTTTCATTCGAAACTGTATTAATAATATTAATCTGAGATTGAGTTTTATTTAATTTTCTACCTGTTACAATATTCCAAGCTTCATTCGGAGCAGGAACAATAACATTTACAACTTTGTTGTTTAAATCTTCATTCTTTTTAGTTAAATCAGCAACTGTTAATACTAATGATTGTATTGTTTTTTTCAAATCTGCTACAGCATTACTAATCTTTGATTCATATTCAATTCTTAGTTTACTCTCCAGTGCATCCAGAGCGTCTTTGAATTCTTTTGCATTAACCATAATATATTAGTTATAATATAGTTAACCTTATTACACAGGGACTAAAAAGTTTCAGTATGTGTTTTTTTCCGTATATATATATATATATATATATATATATATATATATATATATATATATATATATATATATATATATATATATATATATATATATATATATATATAGTTAAAAAGATATAATATTAATAAATACTAATAGTCACAAAAAGTTATAAAAGAATATATTTAAATACAAATTTCCAATTTGTAAAAGTATTAGTGGAAAGGAAAGATTGACTGATAGACTGATAGACATTAACAAAATGCAAAACTATTTTGGTATGGCAATCAGGCAAAATCTTGGCCAATTGTATGCTATAAAGAAATCAGTTTTAACACTTCTTTGGCACTTTACGGACATTAAAAATCTTGACGTTAGACACCAGTTTTGTCCTAGATCTGCAGTATCATGGTGCAAATATCAAGTTGATAAAATAAGAGGCTTGTCTAAATACAATTAAAAAGGTGTTATTCCTGAAGTCATTAAAAAAGAAATTGAAAAGATTTTTATTAATTTGAGTTTTGATGACCTTTTGTCGCGATGCTTAGAAGACACAAGCCAAAATGCTAATGAAGTATTTAACCAGATTCTCTGGCGGAAATGCCCAAAAAACACATTTGTTTCACAAGATATACTAGAAATGGTTACATTTTCATCAGTAGTAAGTTTTTAAGACGGGTTTTTAGCTCTAGATAATGCCTTGAAGTATCTTGGTTTAACACCAGGGAAATATTGTATTGATCGTGCTTTAGTATTCGATAGCAAAAGAGTCAAAAATATACAAAAAAATTAACAGATACTGTAAATAACAAAAGAAAAAAGTTAAGAGCTATAAGGAAAGGGTTTATTGATAAAGAAAAACACCAGGAAGGAGGATTTATTCCAACGGATCATTTTAACTTTTTTATTTTTATTCTGTTAGTTTTCTCTGTTTTTGATATTTCAGACTTAAAACAAACATATCTCAGCTTCTATGAATTATTTTTGAATAAAATTTTTAGTGTTTTTTCATCTGAATATAAGTTAGTATGTGAACCAGAATCTAATTAATTCTTTAAGTATTTTAGGAATTATGGAGATTTTTGTTGAATTTTACCCCTTTTTTAAATTCCCCAAATACGTAAAGCTACCATTATAGATCTAAACATAAATATTAATTAAGTTTTTACTGGTTCACATACTAATTTTATGTATGTCCTAGATCCAAACCAAACTTCATGCAAAATGAATGTACAGATAACTAGAACTCTTTGTTTTAAGAAAGTGATGTTTTAGCCATTTTTTTGCTGATTAGCAATAAAAAACGTAATTTTTTTTTTTTTGTCATAATTCAAATATGAATTCTTTATGTTCAAAAATAAAAGAAACTCTCCTATACAGTCTATATACAGATTTCTAGGCTCTTTCACACAGCATAGCAAAAACTACTTTTGTTCTTTAGTAGCAATGATTAAATATATATATATATATATATATATATATATATATATATATATATATATATATATATATATATATATATATATATATATATATATATATATACATATATATATACATATATATATATATATATATATACATATATATATACATATATATATATATACATATATACATATATATATACATATATACACTAGACGACTGATCTTACAAATCCTACAGGAATCCTATAGGATGAGATGCACAAGTCCCTGCAGGACCTACAAGAATCTTTTGAAGGATCTTGTAAGATTTGAAGGAATTCTTATAAGATAATATAAGATCTACAAGAATATTTTAAAAGATCTTGCAGGATTAACAGGATTCTTATAGGATGCTGAAGGAAAATTTTAGATTCGTATATATACGGCCGTAGCCCTCCCCCTTAATCCAGCACTGGTTCCTAAAGGAAGCAGTGATAGATTAAAGAGCTCTTTGAGATTTCGTATTATTGCATCAGGAACTGTGATTCTATAATAAGAAATAAAGATATATAAAAAAAATAATAGAAATCAGGCAATTAATTATTAATTAAAAATTTAAAACCCGTCCCGCCCCTTAACCCATCGCAGACACAAGGGAAGGGGGATTATTACCCCCTGACAAAATTTTTAAATTATTTAAAGAGTATGACTAAGTAAAAAGTAAAAACACTTGAAATTTTAGCTACTTGCTCCAAATATTTAGGCGAATTTAAGAAAAAAAAAATTCATTTAAAATGCCTAATCTGAGCATATTAGTCAAATCCATGGATCGATTCAGTCAAACGAATGACTGGTCAAATGCTTAAATTTTGATTTCTGGCTTTTCTTTGTAATCCTGAAGTTTCATATTTTCCAAGAAGCTTTTTTTTATACTTACATATTTATAATTATTTCAATAAATGAAGTATGAGAAGTTGTTAGTCCAAGATCCTACTTTTTTGGATCTGGATCATGATCCAACAAGTTAAACTAATTGATCCCAAATTTTCAAAATAGGTTAAGAAAAATAGAAAATTTAATAAAAACCCAAGCACTGAAAGTATGATTTTCTTAATAACCCTCTCCCACCCTGTGCCAACAACTTATAAAAAATAGGTAAGCCTTAAAGCTGCTGCCCAATAACATTACCTACATAAAAATGCCCTAATTAAAAAACCTACCTATCAGCCTCTCCATGAGTTGTATTCAGACTTTCTCTAAAACATTTTAAATTTAATAGTATCGTGTTAAAAATACAGCAAACTTTCATACTTTAAAATATATATATATATATAAATATATATATATATATATATATATATATATATATATATATATATATATATATATATATATATATATATATATATATATAATCTGTAAAATATATATATATATAATCTGTAAAATAAATATATAACAATTTTTATTAATAATTTTTATTAATTAATTAGAGTAAAAATTAAATACAATAATAATTATTAATACAACAAAGTTTATGCATATTTATGTTACCAAGTTTATAAAACTTGGTAACATAAATATGCATAAATATGTTTTGTTGAGTCGACAGATTCTACTACCCCAAAAAAAGTTGTTTATCTTTGTTTCTAATTTGTTTAAATAATGTTTGTTCGGTAGGGGAATAATAAAGGCTAGGTGTAGTATTTGCGGGATTATCAATGAGTTTATAATTTTTTTTTTCCTTTTAAAGAAAGTTTATATTTTTCCTACTTTCGGAGAGAGTTCTCTATTTTATCGAAACGTTTCTTCCAGTAGGTTTCATACGAAAATCTACCGTTATTAGAAAATTACTCCTAAACTTTTGAAAGAGTTCTCATCCCAATTAAACTTTAAATATTTCTTTTTATCTTTAAAAATGTTTTTCCCGAGCCATATACCTTGGCATTTTGCTATATTTATTTTGGCACCGGTGGCTTTTTTATTTGATTTCAGAGCTCTACCTACTTCCTCAATCGAGTCCTCTCCAGTTAGATAAAAGTTAGCGTATTGCTGTACTTTTGTTTCTTTTCCTTTAACAATAATACCTTTGATTTTTTCAAATTGTCTAACAAAAGTTGAAAATATTTCCGCTTGAATGATATATAATATCATTGACAAAGGACAACCTTGTCTTACTCCTCTTAAAATATTTATTTTTTCAGATAAACATCCGTAAATTTTAATTTTTGCAAAAATTTTCTCATAGATTGTTTTGATAAAAAATATAAAACTTTTTCCGAAACCAAAATGTTTCAAACAAAAAGTTCCTATCTACCCTGTCAAAAGCTTTCACCTGATCTATAGAAAGAATGCAAGCATCTAAATCGCTTGTTTTAGCAATACTTATAATATCTCTAATGTAACTAATTATAGTTCTGTTTTTGATACATGCTGTTTGGTTGCTATGTATTATGTTTGGTAATATGTTTTTGAGTCTATTTGCTAAACATTTTGTTAGAATTTTGTAATCAACATTTGTGAGTGATATAGGTCTTCAATTTCCTATATCATTTTTGTTACCTTTTTTAAAAATACATGTAATTATGGCTTCTTTTTGTGAATTTATCATTTCTCCAGTAGACAAAACATTATTTAAAGTATCAGTTAAATCTTTTTTAATTATTTCG